TTCTGCCTGTGTCTTATAAAGACAGATGTCTTTGGATTTATGGTCCACCTTAAATCTAGATGATCTCATCTCAAGATCCTTACCTAATGTCTGCAAATCTCTTTCTCCAAATTAGGTCACGTTTGTGCATTCTGAGCCTTAGGACACGGACCGATCTTTTGGGTGAACACTAATCAACCCACTAAAGACAGGAACCACGGTGCAAAACAGAGTCCCTGGCTCATTTCCTGGCAGATATCCAGCCCCACACTCCAGCCCCCCTGAGAAGGAAGACTTCTGACAGTACACTTTCACATGCATTATCTAATTAAATCCTCCCATAACCCTATGTGGCAGATTCTTCTAGCAGTCCCATTTTATGATTGAGGAAACTGAGAACACATTTAGCCAGTCAGATTAAATGCAGGCAAAGGCACCCAGACCTCCACTCTATTCTTTTCAGACCTCTACTCTTAATTGCCACCATTAGAATCACTGTTTAGTTTTCCCCTGTGACACAGGCAGATGAAGAGCAGGGAGGTTATGCAAAGCAGGTGTGCCAATATCCAGATTGTCGCCACAGTTCTCTACTTCACTTCTCTCTCTCTGGAGTGATGTGGGTGTTGTCTTGGTATCTGTAGGTGTCTGAAGAACATAAGAGATGGACAGATGATTAGAGAACCCATTTTCCCAAGTGGTCCTTGGACTAACTAGCACACGGGGTGAGATTTTAATGGGCACAGGTGTCTTTAATAAACACAGCTCACCACCAATTCCTCTGGTGCTTTCTTCTGTGTAAATGCATGAATTATTAAGAGAGCTCATTGGCAGCATTCACACTGTTGAAAGGGCTACTTTGGGTGCTAATCAGAAAACACAGGCTGTCAAAAGAGCTAATTAGAGCATCATACAACTTAATAACGCTTTGCCTGAAAGACTGGATCACTCAGAGATGTTGGATATTCAGATACTGGGCAGAGGTGCAGGAAGCAAACACGAGTAGCCATTATGAAGATTTCCAGCTCTCACCAGTCTTTTCTGGCTGCCCTAGCTCTCCTGATCACTAGAGCTACAGTGGGAACCCCTGCAGATGCAGCAGACATGGGCTTTGTGCCTTGGTTTCACACATATTTGTTCCATGTAATCTAGGACCTGAGCATCCTGCAATCCAGCTGGGACCAAGACGTGATTGCTTTTGAGGGGTTTAATAAGCCCTGTTCGTTCATTGGGGAGCTGCTGGGACAGAAACTCATTCCCAAATCTGTGATAACGCATTAGAAATATGTCAAGTGTTCAAGATTTAGTTGGGTCTCAGAAACAGCATGAGTCATTCTTGACCTACATTTTTAAATAACCCTGGAGGGAAGTGAGTTCCACATTTTGTCAAGTATTTGAAAAAAATGATAAAAAATAGTCATGCAAATAAGTAAGAAAGAGCAAATTAATATAATCTGCTTGTTAGGCTCTTAGTAATAAAGCATAATCACTTTTTAAAAACTGGATATGTAAAAATCCACAAATTTCAAAATTTGGTAAATTGGGGTGTGTTGACTCATATATAAAAGGTTCACACCACAAAATAATCTTCCAGTTTAATTTTTAATGACAGCAGTTACTGCTTTCACGATATTTGTTTGCAAATAATTAACCTTCAATAGGGGAAAAGAAGAATACATTCACTACCATAAATGAAGATAAATAATTTTCAAGGTCATCATAAAAGGCATCCAGGACACGAGGTTTCATTTTTAAAAATTAAACCCTTTCATGTTTTAGGAATAAGGCTAGTCCACATCACCAGACATTCCTGGACCTGTGCATTAGACTCTATGCTGACAGGCTTCACACCACCATTTTTTCTAAGCCGCAACCCAGACACATCAAGTTACCCCTAAGTCTTCTCTCAGAAATGCCAAATTCTGGAACTTTTTTCTCTAAGAGTGTTATGGCCAATTTACTGTCAAGGTATTTATTATTATTGGGCTTTCCTTAGATCCGGTTCACTGTGTGAAGCCAACTTTGAATTAGAGTAGCTTTGATTTCAGCAAGCCAAATTCAAGTGTCACTGGGGCCATTTTAGTGGACTACGTGCCCCAGCTCCTAATGGAATCTGGAATTACTCGCCATCGCTCGGTGGGATAAAGATGTCCTTAAAAAACCAAGGGGAAAATGCTAAGTGGGTTTTGGCATCATAAATACCAAGTGACATGACAATGTAATGCAAGGACATGGAAATCAACTTGGTAAATTTCCCAAGCATAAGGTCATGGTTCCTCTTATCCTAGGGGAAAAAAATCTTAAGAAAAGGAATAGTACTTTGAAAATTCTTATGCTCATTTAAATTGTATACATGTGGCTGTCTTGGTTGTGTTTCCAGTTCCCCCATACCATAAGTAGTCCTTTTCTCCCCTGCTATTGATTATTCCCTTTAGTGAGTACACTTGAATTTTTGAAGTTTCTGGGGTTTAAGTCACTGTCTAAATGCACACAGCTTCCATTACTTTGTTAGCATGTCAACTAGCTAACGGCAGCCTTGCTTGGGACAGGCATTTCCTTAGTCCTCCCTGCCTTGTGCTCAGAGCCCAAAGGGGCCGGCTGAAGAAGGCGTGATTGACAGAAAGGAAAGCAGGGAATACAGCGAAAGTTAAGAGATGAGTGATGCCTTAGATCTATTCCGATAAAAATGTTCCTCTAGGTTTCCTCCAGCCACATCAAACTGAGCATGTCTTTAACCAAACCCGTATCTTTTCCCACCAAAATGTGATCTTTCTTCTAGGCACCTTTTCACATGGATGGTCCCACTGTCCACCCAGCGTCCTAAGCTCGAAGCCTGGGAGGGGGGCATCCCCGACCCCTTCTTCTCTCTCCAGTCCCACCGATCATCAGTTCCGAAGCCATCTCCCCAGGGCCCCCTTCATAGCTCAGTTTCATCTGCTCTTTCTCCCCATTGCTGAGCTCTGAGCTCAGGCCACCATCATGGCTCCCTCACCTACTCACCCGCACATCCTCCTACCTGGTCTTTTGGTCTCAGGACTGCACGTCCCCAGCCCGTTCTCTAAGCAGAGATGCCCGCCTGTTAGGCCATGAAGGAGTTACAGATGGGCCAAGATGGTGAGCCCCTGAGCCCCCAAGATGACCAGGACGAGCCCCTTATGTTCATCCCAGCATGCTGCACAGATACCCCTTGCCTGTGTGTGTCTTGAAGTGAGAAAGGTGGGAAGCACCAAGCTACAAAAGGAACGCCATCTGTTTGAAAACTGCCTGAGGTCAGATCCAGGCTTAGTCCAGCTCAAGCCTGGGGAATGCTGGTTGCGATGTGTGTCTCACACCTGGACCCTGGTTGTGCTTGTGCACAGCAGGGGGCCCACGAGATGCATTAAAGACTCGAGCCAGGGTCATGAAGATGGGAGTGAGAAAGAGTGAAGAGAGATGTTTCAAGTAGAATTAACCTGCATAGGAAGGTGTCAATGGGGGCTGTGAGATTCCAAGCACTAATAATGTCTGGCAGGTTGGGGGCAATACTTTATTAAACAAGGTTGGGAACATGGGAGAAAATAGCATTGGGGGGCCAGGTTGGGAGAAGGGCTAGCCATCATGAACTGGGTTTGTAGACTGTAGCATTTAAAATTCAGGATGGACATTCATGTGAAAATGTCTAGCAAACCACCTGAAATTCAAGTCTAGGGCATAGGACAGGGCCAAACGAAAAGGACGGATGTGAGAGCGATTCATGAAGAGGCGATCAGGCAGCTGAGCCCTCAAAGAGAGAGGCTGAGCACAGGCCGTGGGGAAAACCCTGTGTTACAGGTGGGTGGAGGGCAAGGGTCCAGTAGAGGGCAGTGACACGTGGCTGCCAGCGGTATAGGAAGAGATTGGGAGAGTGAAGTGACATTGAAACAAAATGATCAACAGCATCGTATTAGAGATGGTACAAGTGGGAGGAGAACCGAGAAACCAATGAATGTGGTGATGAGAGGTCATAGTTGACCTTCAAAAGAATGAGTTCAGCAGTTGATGGTGATTGCAGCTGTGCCAGTTCAGAGTTTCCAAACAGCCGACACCAAGATGGATTAGATATGCAGGGGATTTACTGGGGAGATTTCTCATGGAGAATAAAGAAGGCAGGGAGAGCCCACAGATCAAGCCGCAGGCCCGACCCCCGTGACAGGAGAGAAAGGGGAGGAAGGTCAGGGCAGGAGAGCGTCAGACCTCAGCGCACTGACGGCGGCTGCAGGCAGAAGGTTGGGAAGGCCCCGCTGGGAGGACAGGTGTCCTGGGCGTTCTGGGAGTGCACTGGAGACCCCAGCCAACCTCTCCCCACAGGGGGCTCTCTCGGAGGAGACCCGAGGTTGCCTTTCCACGGCCCCACAGAAGCCAGAGTGAGGGGTCTTGGGAAGGAAGTAGGAACCCGAGTACTGTGGTCTAAGGTGCTCTTTCCTCTGCACACAGCACTCACTGAGACAGAAGACACGGGAAGCCTCGCAGGTAGGCAGAGCCTGGTAAGGGCCATATGCCCTGGGATGTTCACGAAAAGCATCAGAGAAGCCCAGTAGCTTCAGGGGCGCACAGTTTGGGGGGATTGCCCGGACTCGATCCAGCGCTCTTTTTCTGTCCTTGTTGCCCCTGCCTCCCTCCAGCCCGGTGCTCTCCCAAGCATTTCCGCCCCACGGCGGGGTCCCTTCTAGCGCATTTCACACCCTCTGTGTGCTGTCACCTGTGATGGAGTTTTCTCTTTCTGTTGTGGGGTTTGGAAGGATCTTGTTACCTCTCTTCTCTAGTTAAAGTATGACACTGAAGAGCCTAAGTTTAGGTGCCGCTTAGAAGCCAGCTCTTCCTGTGCCCGGTGGGAGAGGTGTGAGGCGGAGTCCACCGGCCTCTGCGGCAGGGGGTTTGGAAAATGCCAGCCAGGTGCAGTGACAGTCCCCTCTCTGAGCCCTGAATGGCCTATCGTGCTCACAGGGGCACTCGGCCCCCGTTTGCACCCCGAAGAAACCGACTCACTGCTCTGTGTTTCTTTGCAGGTGACCTCATACATTTGCCTCCATACCTTAGAATGGACTTTTTGTTGAACCGAAGTGGTCCGGGCACCAGCAGGGACCTGAGTTTAGGGCAAGCGTGCTTGGAGCCTCAGAAAAGCCGGACCCTGAAGCGCCCCACGGTCCTGGAGCCCATCCCCATGGAGGCCTCCTCCTCCACGGCGGCGTCCAACAGAGACGGGCAGCAGTGGCAGCAGGGGGCTGTGGCCACATTACCTCAGCGAGAAGGGGCGGAGCTGGGACAGGCAGCTAAAATGAGCAGCTCCCAAGAGTCGCTGCTGGACTCCCGGGGCCATCTGAAGGGAAACACCCCGTACGCAAAATCGTACACCCTGGTATAACAAACAGCAGGACTGGACAGCGGTTGTAAATAGAATTTAAAAAATTCAATCAAAGCTACCTTTTTTTTACGGAATTCCAATATTTATAATTAAAGAAAATTGCCAAAATATATTTAAAAAAAGAGAGAGAAAATACTGAAAGCACAGACAGTGCAGACTCTCGTGCTCTTTTTTCTGTCTGAGTGTCAGCTCCATCTGCCTGGGCATCTGATTTTTTGGGAAAGAAGTCCAGTTTTATGATCTTCACAGGCTATTGCATTTTTACTGATTTTCTACACAGTGCATGGGGGACCCATCACACCTTCTGACCGGAAGTTCTGTCACACACGACTCAAGAAAGAAAACAGGAAGAAAACTTACCCTCTTTGTGAATTTCAAAGGAACGCTGATTGGGGGCAACGGGGAAACTAGTCATGTCTGCACACCTCTCCTTCCCATTAGGAACTCGGTCCTCAGTCTGACCTTCTTCTGTTGTTAATCAGGACGAGTGCCATCCGTGAAGGGGAGGGGGGAATCAATTTGGTTTTCTTTTTTGTTTATTTTTTAATTTAATGAGACACTCTTTGCATTTTGTCTAAGCGAAATAAAGAAGAAAAGGTTGTCTGCCTTTATTTCAATGTCTACTTCTCTCGTCTCCTGCTGTTTGCTGGCTCCTCTTCCTAAGGATGCTGGTGTTTGCAGACACCACGGCTGAACCCAGAACCCAGTGTGATAAAGCAGAGAGGATACTCACACTGGGAACGTCCTGGGAATGGCTGGGGAGAGCACGGGAGGGGCAGCTGGCCTCAGTCAGGAGGGGCTGGCCAGGTATGCTAGCCTCCCCAGTGCTCTGCTCCTCGCCTCCAGATCGCGCCTGGCCCTCTAGCTAGACCAGAGGTCAGTAAACTATGGCCTGTGGGCCAAATTTAGCCCACTGCTGTGTTATAAAGTTTTATTGGAACGCAGCCACGCGCCCCATCCCCATTGTGTCTGTGGCTGTTTCATGCCCCAGTGGTGACCCTGAGTAGTTACAGCAGGGATGGTGTGGCCTGCAAAGCTGAAAATGTTTACCATTTGGCCCGCTGCAGAAAATGTTTCCCAACCCCTGTCTAGAGTCCCACATTTAGCCGCAGCTTGCTGGAGAAAGGAAGGGAGGACCAGGAGGACTCCATGCGTCCTACCCTCCGGGACCTGTCCTGACCCCCTGTGACTGGTATCTAACTGTGCAGTAGACCCTCTTAGTATGTGTCGCCTCCAATCCACTCCTCTGTACCCAGAGGAAACCAGTCAATAGTACGCAATGTTCCTCTGAAGTCAACTTTTTATTTTCCTTCCTCTCAGTTTCAATTATTTACCTTGGGATTCATCCTCAGAGAGAAGTTACTCTGAAATAGTAATGAACTGCCATCTTCGTTTATGACCCTTATGTAGTGTGCTTTAGAAAGGGTATGTAATCCTCCCACAAAACCCACAACCCATTCCAGAGTCTCTTCCCTAAAAGGGAAAGATAACCAGGTCTCCATGCCGGAGGTTTGGCACTGAACAGAAAACATGATCAGTGACCGTGGCTGCACAGTTGCCCCGGTAGTAGACTGCACAAGTTCCCTCATCTCCCTTCGCATTCTCTGTAGGCTCCCCTTTAAGCCACCAGCATAGAGTGGTGCCAGCTGTTACCATCTGGGAACATGTTCAGAAGTTCTTTCCTTTTCTTTTTCCCTCCTTCGCTCCTTCCTTCCCTCTTTTTCATTCTTTCTTGCTTCCATTTATTGTCCAGGCAGGTCCGTTCACCTACATTTAAATGCAGTGACACTGAGTTCCTGCATAATAGGCCCAGGGCCATGTCAAGACCGCCCACAGTGCTAACATGAGGTGACTCCATGGATGTGAGATGTACATTTTTTTCTGGCTATGGTTTCAGAAGTTAATCTATGTTGACAGCTGATTGTTTGCATCCTCAAAGACTGCTTTTTTTTATGCAAAAGCAATGAAATGTTACTTTCTGGGGGAAATTAAAGCTCTATCCTTCTTCAGTCTCAAATTTCTATATTCCCTGAACTTAGAAGTTCACCATATTTTTTTTATTTTTCTCTCAAGCTGTGCAAAAATAAAAAATTCTACATCATGTCTGCCTCTGGAATGCATTGCTTTCAAGAATCCTGCTTTGAAAATGCTCATTAAAATGGATTCAACATATAAGCCTTGTATCAAACAATCCACCTCCCTACCTCTCAGGCAGGGGCCTAGTATTTATGTCTACAAAGAAGTCTGTATCTGTACATTAAAGGAGCACCATATTGAGAGTAATAATTTTCCTCTGGACTTCTGCCTGTCTCTAATCTGATTTATAATATCTTTGAGTGGTCATCTTATCAGCCTGAGGTTTGCAGCCAGTTGGCTGTATCTTAGAGTGGTGAAACTGAAGAATTCTTTGTCCTTTGCCCAATACTAACTACTGGGCCAATGGACAATAGCTATTGGGTCAATAGACTGGGCTTCCTCCAAGGCGTCCATCTGGCTGGCAATCTGAAAAATGCCCACCTTCCTGAAGTGAGCAAGGTCTTCTCTTAATGCGTAGCCAGTCAGCTGCCAGCTCATACAGCTCTGGGAACCCTAGTGCATCCATTCAGTCCACACGTCTGCCTGCCCACTTCCTTGTATCCATGTCTGCAGGACTACCCTTGAAGAGAAGAGGGTGGACAAGTGGGGGTAGAGAAAGATGGAAGAGAGAGGTGATATGAAGCACTTACAAGCTAGACTAGACAAGCTCCAGTCCCATTGTCTTCATACCCTTGCTACCAATCTTGATACTATCTTAAGATGCAGGAAACATACCTTTGCTTAAACTGCCCTTAACATAAGCAGTAGATCACCGCTCAGTGAAGGTCCCTCTGACCTGAAACCTTGACTCCCCCATATGCCAAAAGCTTCCGGAGATTTCTAAGGGGAAAATGGAGGCCTTCCAGAGAAAGTGTGAACTCTGTACACCTATTTCCAGCAATGACAAACAGTGTGGCCAGCCACCAGAGACTGGACTAGGATTGAGACTCCGAGCACTAGTAGGACTAATAGGATTTTTAGTCACGAAAAGTTTAAAGGGAGCTTGTAGAATGTCCATATTCGAGCTGTGTAAAGAATGTAGCTCTGGAGGTCACTTGAGAAGACTGTCAACAATCTAATATCCAGGGGTCCTGAGCCCCATGCTGTCTCTCCATCCATTGGCCTCAAATGACCTGTCAGTGGTCATTTGAGTGAGCCTGGAGTGAAGGGAAGATTTTTGCACTTAGAAACCAAGATGCTGGGATGTCCAACAGGGACTTCATTTAAGAAAGTCTTCAGGCCTGTGTGAAACTGTTGTTTGCTCTGGTGTCCTTGTTTGTTTGAGGAGACGACTTCGTGATGGGAGAGCTCTTGAGTAGCCTAAAGAATTTCCGAGCCTGATGAGCTTGGACAGGGACAGTGTTAGATGGTGACTGAGGACAGGTTCCTGGCTGAGCCTCTCACCCCAGTGAGTTAGGACTGAAGACCTCAGCATTACTTGGGTCACTCAAGTGTCATCAAGCACGGGCGTGGGGAAGAACCATTGAGAGACAATCCTCCATGAGTCTCTTGCGTATGTGTGTGTCCTCTGAGCAGGGATGTTGCTGGATTCTGTCCTTTGTGGATGTTTGCATAACAGTCTTGGAACAGAGAGATCTGTCTCCCTGCTGGGCAAAAGGCAGATTTGATCCCTGACCAGGATAACAAAAACAAGGTCTCCCTGTGAGGCAAAGGTTGGCAGATTTGCCAGCAGTTTCCCCTTTAAAAGTGTGGGGTTCCCTAAACTAAGCATTAGACACAGGCATTGCAGCCGTCACTCTTCCCTGTGGAGTTGGGCACTCTCAGGCCGGCTCCTTCAACTCCTTGGATCTCCAGTCCAGTCTCATCTCAGTGAAGCGCTCCCTGAACATGCTATTAAATACTACATCCTGCCTGCCTCTTGGCATTCCTGCTCCCTTATACCTCCTCTAGCTCTCTGTCCATGCCCTTTCCATCTCTAATTTACTTATAATGGCTGTTTTTCATTATCTGTCTTCTGTCACTAGAATGTCAGCTCCATAAAGACAGACTTCTTTGTTTTGTTCACTTGTGTCCCCAGTTCCTAGAACAGTACCTGGGCCCATATTAGGCATCCTATAAATATTGTTTTAATTGGAGAAAAACAGTTTGGGGTTTCTTAAGCTCAGGGTTCCTCAGCTGCAACACAAACCCACTGTGTGCACAGTGCCATCCGGGCTGCTCTGCATCCCCCATGGGCCTTGGAGGCACCGGGGAACCAATGGGGACACAGCATTCATGCCAATAGCTGAGCTGTGAGGAACTTAGTCTTAGTCTCTGACCCGGGAGTCTCATGTCTTCTGCCAGCACCCATGGACTGTGGCAGGCCAGCTTGTTAGCTTTCATGCACAGTAAGGATCTGAGACCCCCTATGGTTCTTGACGGTAACCAACGAGACACGGGCACCACCAACTCTGTTCTCCACCCTCTACCAGGACTAATTGCAGCTTAGACTGCTGGGTGTGATCCACTCACAAATGTTTTGTGGTTTCGTGAGAATATTGTTTTTGTTTTCTTCCTCTTTTCAGTCTTTCACTTTCAGAAAGAAAAAACTTAGAAAAAGTAGCTTTGAGCACATGGCCAGGGGTGCCTATTTCATCTCCCAAGTAAAGCTTGTCAAGGCCAGGAAGCTCTTTGTGTTCCAGAAACTTCAAATCAACTACAAGAAGAAAAGTCAGTGTTTATAATCTTTGGCATTGTGCCTGCCTATAGAGGGTTATGTTCTGCCTCAAAGAGAGAACTCTTCCACAGAGAAAACAACAACTGGGAGATATATATATATTCATGCATGTGTTGGGGAGAAGGTGCTCAGAAGTGTCCTCAGGGACAGCAGGGCCTGGGGCCAATCCAACACCCAGCTGGTTACCATGTTCATCCTGGCATCACAATCTGAGGGAAAGCAGCAATTTTCAACTACACTGCATGTGGGTAAGCTCTCAAAGAGTTAATTCAGTGTTTGCCTCAGACTCTAATCCTCTGAATTTCCCTTAAGGGCCAAGTGACTCACTGAATAGAGGGGAAATATTTTAGCAGTCTATTAAGAAGATGCCTCCTGTTTCTAGATCCGAAATTCTAGGTGTCTTAGAGAGGAGCAACTTCTGCAATGGAGTCATGGTGATGGTGCTGGTGTGCTGATGCAGCATTCAACCCCCAGGCATGTGGCAAACAAAGCCCTTGCCCTGAGCGAGAGCGCAACCCTTCATGCAACCATGGTGCTCCCCCTACCCTGGTGTCATACAAATCATGCACATCCCACGTTCCATGCCAACAACCCTCCAGCATCTGTTTTCCATCTAAGACAAGAGATTGCTCTGCCATTGTCAGGAAGGTGACCTGACGACAGACCCCAGAGATGCACTCTGCACGTGCCAAGCACAGCACACGCAGGTCAAGATGCACACATTAGAACTGATTTTATTTCAGTTGTAGTGTTAGCATAACACTCTACCTGTTCCTCTGACTACTTGGCCACAAGATAAGAGAACATTCATGTTCCACTGAAACTTCCACTTATCGTCTCTTAAAATCCTTTCACAGT